GCGGGAAGGTGGCGCCTCGGGCGGGGGCCGGTCCCTGCACCAGGTGACCTGTTCCGGCCGGGATCCGGGCGGCCTCGCTATGCAGCGGCGCGGCGCGTGGCTCTGGTGGCCGTGGCGGCAGCAGCAGCAGCCCCTGCTACCCGTGCTCGGTCCCCGGGCCGCAGCCATGGTCCCCCCGAGCGGCGGGGTCTCCCCGGGCCTTGGCGGCCGCCCTGCCGGCGCTCTGCTCCTGCTGTGCTACCTGGTGAGCGCCAGACCCTACTCGGGTCCTCCTTTCCGCGGGCCCTGGGGACACGGGGGGGGGGCGGTCAGGAACCCCCGAGGCAGGAGCTGGGGACAGCGCCGTGAGTTTTCGCTCTTGCTCGCCGCTGCGCTCTGGGCGCTCCAGGCGGCTGGGATGGGTACGGGGGCGCATGGACCGGACTTATCCGGCTACTCTCGCGCGTGCCATGCCCCTTCCTCCCAGCCTCGCTGTAGACCCGGGTCACATCCCCCCGCGAGACCCCTTCTTGTCCCCCACCCCACTGGATTGTCCCCACCCTGCCTTCGCTCCCTGCCCCTGGGCGCGCAGCTCCCCAGACCTCTCCCTGCCCAGCCCGGGCTTCTCAATCACCACCTCCAAGCTCCTTTCCCTCTTGTGCTCAACTTCGTCTCTTTCCCTCCTCCCTTGCCACCCGTCTCGACCCTCCTTTGAGTTTGCACGGTGTCCTCCTGGGCCGGCGGTTCTGTGCCAACACACCTTGCGTTTCCAGCGCTCTTCAACTCCTCCTTGGTCACCCCAGCCAAGTTGCTGATGCCAGAAAGAAATCTAGTTCTTTGTAGCAAGCTTACCGCCAGAGTGGTGACTTGAGCTGCGTCAGTTTGCAATTTGCACACTTCTTAGCTTCTGGTAGACTCATCGAGTAAATGGCAGTAACCTATTTTAAATACCAGAGTAATGGAGACCCTCAGAACAAAGGTGGGGAAATATGTCTCAGTTCGGCTTGCTTGCTCCTATTTTGAGTTTTAAGGAATAGTGTGTTTACAGAAGGCTCCACTCCTGCTGGCCAGCCTACCTTATGTTCCAGGAGCCTGTGAAAACCTCGGGTTATCTCACCATATATTACTGTAAATAAATGAAATGGAAAATGCTGAATCATGAAACTGATGTAATAGGAATTTCACAGAATGTTTAAAAAATGAGCAGTGTCATTGTCCAGAACTCCATTCATGTGGTGTTGTCAATATTCAGAGTCTCCTCTTCATTGCTAAAATCTGCTTAGGAGATACTGACAGGAATTCAAATTTGATTCAGAAGAAATTGGTTAACCAACCCAAGCTTTTTTTTTTTTTTCCTCTTTCTTTTTTTTAAATACTACTCTTTACTTCTTAAGTGTTCATTTCTTGGAGCAAAAGAGTGTAAGAATGCAAACTGGTACACTGTCCACCCCTCTGTCTACCTGTTGAGTAACACTTGCTTGTCTTGTATTGCAAAATTAGCCCATATCAAATTTTGTGTTTGAGTTTACTTTGTATTTTCATAAGAAGTTGTCAGGTAACATGAATGATTCTTTTTCACCCAAGGGATAGTATTATTTAATATTTATGCCACAGGGTTACAGCACACAGACTCATAAATAAAGCTGCCATAAGAAATGACAGGGTTTCACTTTGAACAGATGATCCCCACTCACTCCTCACTGCTGGTTAGGCATAGAAGCAGACATGATGGAGTTGAGTATTGTATGAAATATTCACATGCAGGTGCTCTAGAAAGTTCCACATGGGAATCTCTAGACCTGGAAAGGAGGGGCCACTGCTTGACAGTTGGAGAAATCAGAGACATGAGTGCAAAACCTAAAGGCCTGTGTAACAGAGACAGAGGATGGAGGTGATACAGAGGCTCTGTATACACCAAGGGGGTTCTGAGGGAGCAGATCAGAGATGAAAACAGATACCACGGTGACCCGAGGGACTGAGGGACAGAGCAAGGTAGCACCCCTTAGAGAAAGCTTGTGGGGCATGCTGGAGTGCAGAGTAAAGCGTGGGCTAACGTTCTCTGGCAGCTGGGGCAGGGATAACATAGAACACGATGGACGGCACCTGCCGCTGGGTGTGCTTCCTTCACAGGGACTTGGGAACTGCTGCTGTCTGAGATTCCGGTAAGCTAGAGAGCCTTTTGTCACAGAAGGAGGAGTGTATACACCTGAGTAAGTTAGAACCCGACTCAGGAGGCTCTCTCTACTCAGGAGGTTCTGTTCTGAGTGTCTAGCCATGTGCCAGGGATTTTGCTCTTTTGGTATGTTCTACCTGAGATTTGTGAAAGGCAGAGCTTTTTGGTCTTGAAGAAGCTTGGGTTGTTAACTGGGGAAAATGAAATTTCTGTGTGAGACACATGCACACAATCAAAGCGAACAGGAAAAGACTGAGAAATAATGCCGATGCATCATTGTATATGCTTTTATTCAATCCAGGAGTGCTTCCTGGAGGAAGTGACTAGGTTGGGAGATAGAAGTGGGCTGGTAGAGGGCGGGTGGAACAGAATGACAGGCAGGACCAAGCTGTCATTTAGAAGCTGTAATAACAGCTTGTGCTATCCTTTATAGTCCTTATCCAGAATCAATCTTTGTAAGATAGGAGCTGTTAATATCTCCATTCAGATGAGATAGCAGGCTCAGAGTGGCTAAGTAAGTTGCTCTAGAATACATAGTCTGCGATTAAACCCAAGCTTGTCTCCCCTCCAGAGCCCCTGCTTTAACCTGTGCTAGCTCCTGGCCTTCTGGATTTTGCTGCTTGTAACCCATTCTTCTTGTACACAAATGTCCAGTCCATTAGCAGAGCTCTGGCAATTAGCAGCTACTGAGCAACTGTCCAGGATGTGAGGTCATATCTAAAGTAAACCTAAAATATATAGAGCAGGAAAAGCACAGGCCACAGAATAGAGGCAGGATGTTAAGGGGTGGGGAGGTTAAAACCTTAAAACTGCCATCATAATGCAGCGATTGAGGACTGGGTCTTCACATAGTTCAGAAGAAGCTGTGGGTTTAACATTTGTGTTTGTGTGACTGTGCCCCGAGTGGACATGGGCTGAGCAGTGGGATGCCCTCCAAAGACAAATCACTGATGACTTGGGGACTCAATTTTGTTTTGTGTCAGCCTGCTGACAAGGGCTGAGCATGTAGCCTTGAGCCTGAGTTCTCACAGAGAGCCTGTCCCCTGGAGTCAGGATCCTTAGGAAAGGTGCTTCCCTTTTCCATCGACTGGGACAAAGTAACCTTCAGTGTCAGCCCAAGAAGAGCACTGTGACTGTAGCTAGGATACTGCTGGAGCATGAATAATTGTATTGAAGCCTGAAAGATAAGTCACGGAGAGATGCCAAACAGATTTCTGAAAAGATGACCCTTGGGTCCAGCGACTGCCAGAAAATCCTGAGGTCACCGAAGGTCAAGATGCAGAGAGGCTTCTGGGGCCTTGAAAGCAACGGGGTAACGAGTTGTGTCTACTGCCGTCACCGTGGCTGTGAAGTCCCCTCCACACAGGACTCACCCTACTGCACAGACCTGCTTGCTGTGTTCTTACACCAATAATGCTTCCCTTTCTCCTTGCCGAGCAGGAACAGGCCTGAGGCTTCCCCAGTCCTGCCCTTGACAGTGGAGCTTCTAGAGGGCAGTTCTGTCCGTCTGAACTCTAGTATCGAATGAATAATCTTTTCCTTAAGTGAGAAAATAAATCTCACATAGACAAAATTGATGTCAGCTATAGAGCTGAAATATTCAGAGTGGACATCTGAGCTTGTTAGACAACTGAGGACAAAGAAATAAAAGCATGTTAGCAGCCCAAATGTGTGTAGGGATTGTATGCAGATGGTAATAGAGTAGCCGAGCTCTGAAACATGCCTGCACCACATCCGTTCCCGAACTCGGGAGTATTCATTAGCCTCTTACTCTGTACAGCATAGGATTTAGAAAAGTGCAGGAAAACTAGGTAAGAGACCTTCCTGTTCTCAGTTTGGGAATTATGATTATGGATATTTGAAAATCAGAAGTAATCTCCAGATATCACATTCTCCATTGATGTCCATCTTTGTCCTGCCCGTGGCTTCTAGATTCGATCATGTTGTGGCACCTGTTTTTATCTTCTACTTTCCTAGCTGCTTATTGGCAAAAAAGTAGAAACCAGAGAAAGGTGGAAGAAGGAAATAAAGGACCCAGGTAGTTCACTGAGAAGATGGATAGACTGGAGGGGACCATAAATAGCCTAAAGCAGATTCAGTTACTCCGTTTATTGGCTCTTCCTGTCTCCCTGAGGGAGGAACTGAGGGCAGGAGGCTGAGGAATTGCTGACAAGGTTCTTCTGCCTTGGCAGCTCCAACCTCCTGTCTTAGCCAGAGAGTGGCTTACTCATGCTGGAGTCTGCTCAGCCCTGTGTGGGTCTGTGTGTCATACAGTTTGTTCCCCCAAGACATGAGGCACACTGGCAAGAGGGAGTCTTGGCCCTCTTCCAGCTTCTCAGATGGGATAGTGACTCCAGGATCCCTCACCTCTAGCCAAAAAGTGAGCACAGGAAAGTAAGGGAGTTGCTTCTAGTAGGCAAGAGACACCCTAGCAGCCTCTGACTTTGGAGTTCAGGTATGGGTTTGAATCTTGATTCTCCTTTTTAGTAGCTGGTCATTTACCCACTCTGAATCCATTCCTGGCCCTCTCTTTGCAACAGGAATACCGTCTCCCTCACAGGGCTGTTGTGAGGGTTAAGTGAGAAGGAGAATTCTATGAAGTTGTATGTGAGAAGACGAGGCTAGAAGGGAGAAAAATAAGATTGAATACACATGCCCCAATGGCTAACACGCAGTAGGTCCTCAGTGAAATAAAACCCAACCAACCTCAGTTGCTCTTCATATGGGTTAGAAAGAAAGAGCGTGCTACTTGGAGGATTGTAACACAAATGGGAAGATTGATCACTATTGTGAAACTTTCTTTGTTGGGCTCTCTCTGGGAAGAGGCAGAGCTTTGATGGGAAATGTCATGATGGTGAAGGCCATGTTGACATCATTGCCCATTCTGCCTAATTGCATGCTTTGTTGACATCAACAGAAGTTTTGCTTATATTTAGTCAGCAGAAATTGGACAAAATAGGACTTTTAAGACAATACAATTGCTTTTTTGACCTATGGAAAGTTTGATCCAGCCAGTTGGAGAGAAAGTGTTCGGTAGCCAAGGTTTTCTTAGGTGACTGGTGGGGTGGACTGAGCAGGAATGAGAAAAACAG